GTTCAGACGTGTGCTCTTCCGATCTATTCATTCTTTCGAAAGTTGTAAACCGTGTTTATGTGCGATTTTTATTCTATTTTGCTCTATCTTGAAGTTTGCCTATTTTTAGAGAATAGAACAGGTGATCCTTTAATTTTTTGGACCAGTGTATAACGATGCCGCATTACTTTTGTGAATCACGACTTATTAAATGTTATAATGCAATCGAGTACACTGCTTGTATACAGGTATAGTATCTCTATATAATACAAACTTGTGGACTTCTGTACACATTGCCAAGATGCGGTAGCGTTGCACGCCATTCTTTTGCATGCATAATTCTGAACATTAATACTTCCCGTTACTTCGGATACGTAAATATCAGATACAATATTGATTACGTACGTTTGATACCAAAAGTAAACATGCAACATATATAGTGTAAAAAGTTTATAGAACTCGGAAAAACAGTCGCGTATAAAGAGTAATTTCCGTTCAATGTACCATTCTACATCCAGTATAATTCGACTGTTTTTCCCAAGTTCTAGAAACTTTTTACACTATATATACACAAAAGAACATTTGCTCTTTTACAAATAAGCATTATAATATAATTGCATATTATAATTGTCACAGCATTTTACAGCAATATTTATTAATACATCTGTGGAAAATAAGATATAAAACTCACTCTGGACTTTATTGTAAAACTTCAGTCCTATTCGATTCCATCGCTTCCTGCAACTTAGTTAACGCATTCATTATTTTTTAATACATCATTATCCGAAAGTTGACTTTTATTGAAGATAATTTGCTTAGCTTGTTTAAGTATATTGTAATCCATTTTCAAAGTAAATTTGTTTAAAAAATATTTCTTGAAAAAACACTTGCTATCATAAATCTTATAGCTGACTCGGCCATCTTATAACTGTGGAAACAGAAAAATATTACTAACGAGGTTACCGAAATATTTTCTAGGCAATTTGCCGATCGTGCAGGCGATGTTCTCGAAGTAGGAAACCTGATATAACCGGTGAATAAAGCCATTCAGTTTGGCCTCGCTCAGAATCTTGGTGGTGTCGCTAATTGCCAAACCATTTAGCATACTCATGAATACGACGGGCATGAGAAAAACAAATATCACGAACACAACTCTGCTCCACGCGGAGTCCACGTGCTTCGTGAATGGAACATTGAATTCGCCGTTGAGCATGATAATAGTTTTGATTATCGAGAAAACGGGATTGAAAAAGTTGTTATCCTCGTTATCCTTGAAAAGTTTATGGAAGATAAAAGCA